TTCACACCTAAAGAATGGAAACTTTCAACAAATAAACACTGGTGAACTTTCAAAAGTCTATAAACCCTAGAGGCTACTGTTTCCTCCTGTGTCTCTGCTATCCTGAGCACTCTCTCCCAGACTTTACAGGAACTCTAATGTCACTGCAGCTGAAAATAGTCAGACCTTCTGGTTGTGGAACTCATACCTTCCCACAGTGTAACCTGGGAGATAGAAGAATCTGGCATTCTTCAAAACACTCTGGTGCTTTTCCAGACATCCCAATTCTTCCAAGCACCACTTATAGTGATGAAGGAAAATAATATCCTGAGATTGAAAATGATACAACAGTTTACTAGCTGTTGTCAGAGGGACTCTTCAGCGACGCCTAAATCAACACAAGTCAGAGAAATAGTATAATTTGTGAAATAAAGCTCATTTGTTATTCTCAAATGCCACATATGGCAAAGATACCTCAGAAATGGAACTGGTAAGTTTTCTGAAACATGGGTTTATTTTTCCCTTCCAAAATAAAAGAATGGCTTCCTCTTTACATTTTCATCTACTGTTCATTGAGTGTCCAGATACATCTCTCATCTGCCCTGTCCATAGGTACTCAGTAGATGCAACAATGAATTGAAACTGACTCCTAGAATATTTTTCCTTTGATATGAAGTACAGCTTGTGCTTCATAGAAAATAAAAGAACAGAAAACTGAATTTACTGCACAAGAGAAGCATTTTCCCCTTGACAAATGTGGTCCAAGAGGCAGCTGTTGGTGAGTACATTTGCCATTATTCATACATGTTCATGGTTTCCTTATCCTTACCCTCCATTTCATCCTCATGGACTAGTCAGGGTGTTTCTGGCTATGAGAAATACATGGGGCTTGATCTTTTGATCCTTTCTAAGAATCAAATTATCCTCAACTGTCTCCAATTTCCAATTTCGTTAAGACTCATCCAGCCATAGTGGGCTACTCTGTGCAGATGAACATCAAGCTTGGAAAAGCTGACCTGGACTGGTGTGTCACTGTCAGATACCCCTGAAACGCTCTAATGGCTCTTCTTATTTTAAATATCAGATTTTCAGAGTAAGCTATTTAAGATCCACCTCCCTAGTTATGCCATAAGCAGCTTTGTTGCTGACAGCTTTCCAGAGGGTGGCTCTGTGCAGTGCTCTTTTAGGAGAAGGCCCTGCAGCTGGAGCAGTTTGGGCCACAGCCCCCAAGTGCAGTGATTAAATTAAAAGGACACCTGTGAGATTCTCTTCTCCTTTGTTTCTTACAAAATGTTCTAATAGATTAATATCTGTGTCTGAGAGAGAAGACAATCCTTTGCTGTTGGTTTCCTCCTCTATTGGAAACCAAATTTCAGTTCATACAGTGTCCTTCATCCAATTAAAACTTATAGCACAAGAATCTCCTCATCATTAACCAATAGCTATTACTTCCCCCAAATTCAGCTCAATTTACAGATTCACCTGTGTATTTCCACACTCGTCTTCACTATCATTTAAATTAGTACGACAGTGCATAAATGGTTTTTCTCGGAAGCTCTTTATTATTTACCACTGTTTCTTTCCAGCTGCTTCCAGCAGCCCTTCAAAGTGCAGACTTGAACTCCACCAATTACCACCGCTGACACAGACCAGTGCTCCCGAGGACATTTGATGAGCTTGGTTTCTCCTTTCTATTACCTTTTGGTTAGAGTTTCACAGGGCTTAAATCAAGAAGTCTCTCTAAGGGGGGTTGGAGCTGTTTCTTTCTTATGAGCACAGAGGAAAGGGCAGGGAAATGGCACTCTAATCAAATTCAGACTTTCATGCAATTGGCGATCCCTGCATTTGGTCTGGACTGTTTGCTCAACTGCAGCGTGAGGCTATGGATAACAGTGGCCAACAAAGCAGAAAAACCTATGTCCTGTAACATTGCTTCTACCTGCTCTCCAGAGTACCCTGTGAATTATGTAATTAGTAGATGTGCCATCGTACAGGAAGAAAAAGGAAAAGGACAAGTTTATTTCTGCATATAAGTAACTTAAGTATAACTTAATCCCACAGCCCAATGGACCATTGAAAATCCTTCTATAGTCAAGGGTGGAAGAGTCAAGAATTAAAGCTAATTGAAAAACAGAAAATGGCAACAATTTGTGTGACTTAATAAATATTCTTCCCTAAATAGTCCTCTCTGTCCATGTATTTTCACCTGTGGCTGTCCGAATCTTTTTGCTAATATCACAGTGCTGTGCAAAGAAATATATTTGATTTTAAAGTCATAGAAAATATCTTTGGTAAAGGAGGGGATTGACAATGTAATGGGAATGAGGAATCTACACTGTTGTCATTATATCAGTGGGACTGTTTAGTGAGCGGGGACCTTAACTTTTATCCCACCAGCACTGCCTACAGTCACATGATGTTTTTTCCATTGCCATATCCATTTACAGACAAGAAACAGAAGTTGGATGAGGATAAAGAGCTTGCTGGGATCGCAACTCTGTAAACTGACAAAGCCGGGTATTGACTCCAAAGCCACAAATGAATCACAGACCCCTATTTTCTTGGTTGCATCTAAGCACAAGGGAATTTTCAGAGATGAATGCTGTACCAAAAAGTATTTCTCCTTCCAGCAGAATATTTGCAATCCTACCAGAAAAAATATTGACCTGGAAAAATGTAAAGGTGATAAAGATGAACACCCTTCATAAGGGTTTTATTTTTAAACTACCGAAGAACAAGTTCCACTCTACCCTCTGAATATCACACTGATCAGGCTGCCATCCTACAATCCCTTCTTATGGCACCCTATTTTCTGTCTACATCCATCTCTTTCTCAAAAACTGATATAATATAAAATAACATAAAAACTTTAAACTGTTTTTAAAAGGGTTCAGCAGGACCAGCATGATGACTCAGTGGGTGAAAGCCCTCGCTGCAAAAACTAATGCTGAGTTGGATCACCAGGAGTCACATGGTAATGGGAGAGAAACACTTCCTACATATAATCATATAATCCTCTGGTCTCCATGTGTAAACTGTGGTACATAGGCACACACACACACACACACACACACACAGAGAGAGAGAGAGAGAGAGAGAGAGAGAGAGAGAGAGAGAGAGAGAGAGAGAGCATGAGTTATAATTGATCTGTATAATGAAATCCCAGAGTCAGATATTAGGGGCAAAAGCCTAAAGATCACAGAAACAGAGCAGATAGCCACTAGAGTTCTCATTTCTACAAAATATCCAGGCCAAAAAGAGACCGAGGTCCAGTCTCCTCCTGCTTAATATTCCTCTCTCTATAAAGCCATATTACTTCCTGTCTTTCTTTCTGTAGACCTCCAGACCTCGATAGTTAACTACTAGCTAGCTCTTGACCTCTGATCTTCAGGCAAGCTTTATTTGTTAGAGTACAAACAAGATTACACATTCCTCCTTTTTTATCTAAAACACAAAGGTTATAGCTAACATAAGAAAAAATTATACACAATAAGTAAAATAACTATATGCAATATAAACAGACAATAAATACATCAACAATGTCTAGTCTATTAGCATTTCACAAATTCAGAGAAAATACTCCATATCTGTCCTACATTGGTGGGTCTAAAATGCTGTACCTAATTCACTTTCTAATCTAACTTGCATTACCTATATCTTTTAATGTCTCTTAACTTTATATACTTTACACCTCTTTAGTGAATTTCCTTTCTGAATCTTGTAACAAGGAATGCTGTAACTATACTTATATAGTCATCAACTCCATCAGAAGCCCCAAAAGGAAATATTAAATGAGTAAGTAGGAAGTTCAAGCAAGCAACTTCCAAAAAATGTGTGAAATGACAGAAACAGCTGACTACCTGGACAGTAATCCAAGATTCCTCTGCAACACTGGGGCATCCATCTTCAGCCTATAGGCCTAGAGTATCTGACAGGCTTGTCTGTGAGCAGGATATTCTGAAGAGTTGTCCTATCTTGTCTTGGCAAAGTTTGGCAGTCACTTTCATTTGTGCCCTGCTTGTTCAGTTTAGACAGCATACTATCATTAGTCGAGGCAAGAACACTTTCTTGCCCAGTGGCCTACTTTTGCTATAAACAAAGTAAACTCCATGTGGAGTTTTTTTTGATGCCCATCATCTTCTGTGAAGTAGATTGGTGCTGCCAGAAAGAGACACCTCTCATTGTCATAAAAAAGAAACTATGTCACTAAAACATGTTAAATGTCATATTCTGTAGATCTCTGAAGTATTTTAAGTCAATCTATCTAAAATATATCTGTTTGATGCTGAAAACATACATAATATGGCTACAAGCTAAATTGTAATAGGTGACTAATTGCTAACCTGTATTTCCTTATTATCCCAAATAATTGGTAATAACAAATTTCAAGAGCTAAACATTTGCATTGCATTGTTAAATGAGTTGCATAGATACAATACCTTGAATGAGATTAGAAATGCATACACAGTATTTTCTAACAAAAATAATATTAAATTTGTATCATTATAGATAAACTTTCTACAATATGAAGTATGTGCATACTTCCAGTTTCTCATTTGTATCTGATTTTTTAAAAAAATTGTATCATTATACAAAAATCCATATCAATGTAAAATACTTAAAGCCAGTAGTTGAGTTTCTGGTTTTAAAGCAGATTCAATAATCTACCCTTTTATCCTATTTCTATATCTCCCTTTATCTTTTCAGAGTAGATTTAGTAATCTACCCATCTATCCTATCATATCTATATCTCCCTTTTTTCTTTTCAGAACAAGAAATTTGAATCTAATCTCCTTTCTTCAACTTTTTTCCTCACCACTATCAATTACCACTTGTAACCAACAACCCTAAATGATAACAAATATCCATAATTCAGTGAACAAACAAAACCACCCCCCCACCTCTTGGGCAGGTGTGAGTCATGTTCCTAATTTATGTCCTGTTGTCTTAGGGCAATGGTATCTTTAACAGATCCTGAAAAGAAAATTTGGGGGTTAATTGTCACATCCTAGGAAAGGTACCTGTATCATTTGTTATCCACTCTCTGTATAATGGGAAAATGCTTGGCTTGTCTCAAGTCCTGGCAAGAGCAGTCTGTGAGAAAGGATCATCTCAGCTAGCCACTTCAAAATTGTCCTAAGAAGTTTGTAGTCCAAAGCTGATCTTCAGGTTATGTTTTTCAGCTTAGTGGCATTATCACAGTCATGGCGGAATCATCGCTGTGAGACCCCATCATCCTTTTGGAGAATTCAAAGGTTACAGTTAGTCATGGTCATGTTCCCTGCAGAAAACTTAAGCATTTTAATGTCACATGCAGCAGATCTTAATAGGGCTAACTGAACAGTATTTGTTATCTACATCCAGAGTACAAAAAATTAATTCCTAGTTACTGATAAGAGACTCAAACCTTTAATTATATGCCAAAAGCGAGATGAAGCTACAATTAGTTAGTACTCTATATAACCATTAATATCATGACAAAAAGTTTAACATATATATAATATTAGTCTTACAAATTGAATATAATATTGATACCTTAACAAAGCTTCAAAGAGTCATAAGAAAACCAAAGGTTTATGAGATCAGTGGTAATACAATAATTTTTCTTCGGTCCCATATCAGGTGGCTCTTCTGGCATGAGACAGAGATTTTGGATTTTGCTTTAACAAGCATGCCTTGGTTTACAGAGGGAGAGATTCACACTCCAACTCCAAATCCAGCTTTCATCTTTAATTGTACTGAGACTACAAAAAAAACAATTTGCATTATATATCTATAGAGAAAAGCAGAAACAAATATTTGGGAAGATTTATGAAAGCTTATCCTGTTGGAAATGTGATGTACTAATAGGCCAGTTTACTCTCTTTCTTGGGACACATTTTCTGAATATTTGTCTTTTTCTCCACATGTCTCATTGTCCAGTTATCTTCAGATTCCTTAGCTGGATGCCTTCATTCTGCTGAAAAGACAAAGACAAAACCTTTCCCTAACCCTAATTTTAGGGAGGTTCCCTTTTGACAAGTTATATCTGATCAAATGAAATCACGTTTTAGTTTTATAAGTTGGTTTAGATTGAACAGCCATACTGTTTGATGAAGTATCATCTCTTCTAATTAAGAGACCTCTCTTCTTCAAATAGAATTTATATCAATTTTGCTGGTATCTTTAGCATTTCTTATCCCATGGAAATAAAAGCAAAATCCCTTCCCCAATGAAACACGTATCTTGGTTTCCATTCTGAGTTCAGCACATCTTTAGAGTATATAAGCTGATTTAAATTCTGTGGTTTTTCTATTATACAGTGTCTCTCATGAGCACTTAGAAAATTCAAAGTTAATGAAGCATTATGAAATTGATTTTTGGTGGTCTTTATTACCACTTCCTCTTTATTCAGAATATTCTTTAGAGTTCAATTTTATCTTTCTGTAACTTCTTACCCTGCAGGAAAGTGTGTTATATCTGTAATATTCTTTATATTGTAATAAGCAAAAAATTGTGTCATTTTACTAGAGACATATGCTGAAGCATTGTCAGTTTTAAATTGCAAATGTATACCCATGACAATTGTAACTTCTAGCAAATGCGTGATTACAGAATCAGACTTTTTATAAATTAAAGCAGTTGTCCATTGAAATCCTGAATATTTATCAATGATGTGGCGTACATATTTTAATTTTCCAAATTCTGCAAAATGGAACACATCCATCTGCCAAATTTCATTCCTTTGGGTACTCTTTGGGTTATTTCCTGCCAATACTGGAGTTTGGTTGTATAAAGAACAAGAAAAGGAAAAGTCTTTTTTAACTTTTGTTATTGACATGATATTTTTATGAAATTCTGAGACCTCCAGCACATTTCCTATCAATATTTGATCAATGTCATCATTACCTTGTGATAGAGGGCCTGGAAGACCCATATAGGATCTGATATATGTTTTATATATATGGAATGATTCTATTCCTGATAATTTCTTGTAACTCAAAAAAATTAATAAAGTCAATTCTGTATTATCTGGTATAAATTCAGTACTTACAATATGCAAAACAACTCTTTCTGCATATTGAAAACACTATATTAAGAGGTTCCATAAATCTCATTAATATCATGAGAATAGCATATAATTCTGATTTTTGGACAAAACCATAAGGGCTTTGAGCTGCTTTACTTGAATTTTCTGATTTGTAACCTGACTTTCCTGATTTATTTGCATCAGTATAGAATGTAGACAACTTGATCTGGCCTTCCCCCCTAATCAGATTGGTGAATAACCCAACTATTATCATAGAACCTTCATCTAGTAATTGATGGAACCAGATGTAGAGATTCACAACCCAACACTAAGCTGAGCTCTGGGAATCCAGTCAAAGAGAGGGGTTTAGGGAATACATGAGTAAGGGGGGGTCAAGATCATAATGGAGAAATCTATAGATACAGATGAACAAATCTCATGGAAACAGAAACTCATGAACACTGGAGAGACAACTATGGAGCCTCCATGGAACAAAAATAGGACCTCCACATGTGGGAGACAGTTGTGAAGCTTGGGCTATCTGAGGAGCCCCTGGCAGTAGGACCAGGATCTATCCCTAGTGCATGAGCTAGATTGTTGGAGCCCATTCCCTATGAGGGGAATGCATACCCAGCCTTAATGGAGGAGGGAGGGGCTTTGTCTTGCCTCAAATTAATGTGACAGACTTTGTTGACTCTTCATGGGAGGAGTCTAAAATGGCTGAGAGGTACTTAAGAAAGTGCTCAAAATCCCTAGCCATCAGGGAACTGCAAATGAAAACAACTTTGAGATATCATCTTACTCCTGTCAGAATGGCTAAAATTAAAAGCACCAATGACTATTTATGCTGGAGAGGTTGTGGTGAAAGAGGAACACTCTTCCATTGCTTGTGGTATTGCCATCTCCTCTTTGTACTTTTTCAGGAGCAATTTGCAATCCACAACAGGGCAAAAATTTCTTTACTCCCTCAAACATTGTTTCTGAACTATCTACATTTTAATTGGCTAGAAAGATGTCATCCATGTAATGGTAAATTATAGATTGAGGAAATTTCTTACATATCATCTCCAATGGCTATCATACAAAATATTGGCACAGGGTGAGGCTATTTAACATTTCCCATAGAAGAGTCATCTATTGATATCTCATAAAAAGCTAAAAATTATTATAAGTAGGCATCATGAAGGCTAAGTTTTCTCTGTCTTTTTCTTTTTTTGGGTCAGGAAGGGTTTGTTTTTTTTTTTTTTAAACTTCAAAATCAAGGTTTTATTTGATAATCCAAGCACGACAGGGACCCCGTCTAGCAAGCTGGCACAGCAGCCTCTAGAGGGAGTGAAGTTCCCTGTCTACCACTAGGTTTTTTGTTTGTTTTGTTTTTGTATTTTATTTTTAAATTTACGTTTAAATTAGAAACAAGGTTGCTTGACATGTCAATCCCAGGTCCCTCTCCCTTTCCCTCCCCTCCTCCCTCACCCTCCCACCAAACCCCCTCAATACTTCCTCCTTCCCCCAGGGAGGGTGAGACCCTCCATGGGGGTGCCCATAGTCTGTCATTTCATCCAGAGTAGGACCTAGACCATCCCCTGAGAGTCCAGGTGAGAGTGCATCTCTCATTGTTTGATGAGCACCCAAAGTCTATTTGTATGCCAGGGTTAAATACTGATCTAGTACACAAGGTCCCATAGATTGCCTAGGCCTCCTCACTGACACCCACATTCAGTGGGTTTGATCAGTCCCATGCTGGATCCCCAGCCATCAGTCTGGGATTCAAGTGTTCCCCCTTGTTCAGGTCAGCTGTTTCTGGGGTTAAAAAAGCACAGACTTAATCCCTTTGTTCATTAGTCCTCTCTCTCTGTCACTGGGTTCTTTGAGTTCATCTCATTGTTTACTTGTAGGAGTTAGCCTCTGCTTCCATTAGTCATTGGATGAAGGTTCTGTTTCCCAGACTCTCTGACTGTGGGGTTGTAGGTTGGCACTCCCCATATCTATGTCTAAAATCCATATATGAGAGTACATACCATGCTTGTCTCTTTGTGACTGGGTTATCTCACTCAGGATGGTTTCTTTTAGTGTCATCCATTTGCCTGCAAATTTCAGGATTCCATTGCTTTTTTCTGCTGAATAGTACTCCATTGTGTAAATGTTCCACATTTCCTTTATCCACTCTTCAGTTGAGGGGCATCTAGGTTGCTTCCAACTTCTGACTCTTACAAATAATGCTGCTATAAACATAGTGGAAGAGATGTCCTTGTATGAATGTGCACCCTTTGGATATATGACTAACAGTGAAATTGCTGGGTCTTGTGGTAGGCTGATTCCCAATTTTCTGAGGAATCTTCATAATAATTTCCAAAGTAGCTGTAAGAATTGGCACTCCCACAAGCAGCATAGGACTGTTCCCCTTTCTCCACATCCTCTCCAGCATAAACTGCCATTAGTGCTTTTGATTTTAGCCATTCTGACAGGGGTAAGATGATATCTCAGAGTTGTTTTGATTTGCAGTTCCCTGATGACTAGGGATTTTGAGCACTTTCTTAAGTAACTCTCAGCCATTTTAGACTCCTCTATTGAGAATTCTCTATTTACTTCTGCATCCTACTTTTTTAATTTTTTATTTTAATCTTAAATAGCTTGTTTTCCATGTCAATCCTAGTTCCCTCTCCCTCCCCTCCTCCCGTACCCCCCACCATCCCCCCCCATCCTCCCACCCTATTGTCAATTCCTTCCTCATGGGGGATATCTAGAGTCTATCATTTCACTCAGGGTAGGGTCCAGGCACTTCCCTAAGAGTCCAGGCAGAGAGAGCAACCCTCTTTGTGTTATGGACACACGATGTCTGTTAGTATTCGAGGGATAAACACGGATCCACTGCTCAGGACCCCATAGGTAGCCCAAACCTCCTCACTGACACTCACATTCAGGGGTCCGGATCAGTCCCATGCTGGCCTCCCAGATGTCGGTCTGGGGTCCAAGAGCTCTCCCCTGTTTGGATCAGCTGTCTCTGCTTGTTTTCCCAGCCCATTCTTTGCCAATTTGCTTACCGCTCCTCTCTCTCTGTCTCTGGGTTCTTTGGGTTCTCTTAAGTATTTAACTGTGGGTGTTTGCCTCTGCTTCCATCAGTCACTGGATGAAGGCTCCAGGATGGTGATAGACATCAAGTTCACTATCAGGAATGGGCATTCGAGGTGGTCTCTCCACTATTGCTTAGCTTGCCAATTGGTGTTATCCCTTTAGATCACTTGAGGTCGCTCTGGTGCCTGATCTGTATTCGATCCTATGATTCCCTCTTCCCCCTATCCTACCCTCCCAGTCAACCTTCCTGTTCCTCCACAACCTACTCTCTCTTCCACTTCTCCCCCTCTCTATTTCCCAGGTCCCCCTCCCCCCCACCCCTCGCTGTGTTCCCCATCTGTTCAGAGGATCTTGCCTCATTTCTCTTCTCTTGGGTACCATGCATATCTTTTAGGTTCTTTCCTGTTTCCCAGACTCTCTGTCAGTGGAAGTACAGACTGACACTCTCCTGATCCATGTCTAAAATCCATATATGAGTGAGTACATACCATGTTTGTCTTTTTGTGACTAGGTTACCTCACTCAGGATGGTTTCTTCCAGTGCTATCCATTTCCCTGCGAATTTCAAGATTCCATTGTTTTTTCTGCTGAGTTATACTCCATTGTGTAAATGTACCACATTTTCTCTATCCACTCTTCGGTTGAGGGGCATCTAGGTTGCT